TCAGTTTGACATCAACAGATTTGGCCATTTACTTACATGACTATTGTTTCCCACATGTAAATTTTATTCCTTTTTAAATCCAAAGAAAAAACAATTGCCCTGGATTACCATAAGGAAGTTGCCTTTGCTTTATAGATGGGTAATAATTTTATATATTTCTAAGTGAGCATTTAGGTAAACTTTGGGGAACTCAAGCCCCAAATAAAATTTTATTCCTAAGATTTACTTAGATGATGTTAAGGGTTTTTTGTTTTGATTGTGTTTTTTTTCAAAATTCTATGTACATCTTTTTAAAATATTAATAGATATTAATAAAGGATATATTTAAAAGGGTAATTTTATTTTGAAATAGGAGAAAGGAAAATTCATACTGCAATAATGTCAGAGTTTCCAGAGGAAGATGTTGTGAAATTGTTTGTCTAAACACATTTTATTTGGGGCTCTGTATGAATTTTCAATAGATGTTTCTTAGATAAGAAGCCAGTAATTCAAACGTGATTATATAAACAAGAAGATCAGAGAGGAATTATCCTGAAGGGTATAAAATGAACCAAGAGATTTTAGTCTGGGTTGTTACAGCATCAGCTCACCAATGCAAAGTAAGGTAGGTGTCTACACTGAGAAGGCTTTGTGAAATGAAATGTTGCTATTCTGAATTTCTTTCATTTTCATCATTTTAGCATTTATTTAAAAATGGTTAGATGCTCAGTGATAATTTGCTCTGATAGGCTCTAGAAATTCTAATTACTGCCCTAAATTGTTCAATGGTGGGTTAAGATGAGTGAACTATATACATAAGGATAAGAAAATATTTTACTGACTTCAAGGAAGAGGAAAAATTGGTCCATTCCCTAATGAAGGCTGTTTGATGTTCATGGCCTTCCCTTCCTTATTTACATTTGATTCAAATATTTTAATCAGTTGAATAATCTGTGTATTAAATCCTGTCAATTACCAATGATTATCTTTGATGATAATATTTTCCTTTCTCCTATTTCAAGAAAACTTAGAGTAAATTCTGTTTGGGGCACCTGCAGAGGTAATTTACTCTGCATCATTTTAGTTATAGCTAAACCCCCTTGGATAGTGTCCAATGCATACACCACCTACCTTATAGTACTTTTTGCTCTCTAGAAAAATACATTGCTTTAGTGAGGTTTCTGGATTGTTCACAGGGTAGACAATTGATTCTTTTCATAATACAGTAAGGGATTTGGAGAGAAAAGATTGGTGAAGAAAATTAGTTGAGAAGAGAGAAATGTGTTTAAGAATGGAGGTTAAAAAAAAGAGTGAAGATAGTGAGAACAAAAAAAGTGAGAGAAAAGGTTGGGTAATGGGCAAAGGAAAGAGGACATTTTGGAATAAAGAAAAATGTTGGAAGTGTAGACATAGGTGGTCATGGCACTGAAAAATTTACTTCTCATTTAAGGCCAGAAATTATACTTCTGTGTTTAGGTGCTCAGTAAATCATTTATGATGATTTTTAACAGAGGCAATTAAGTTGCAGAGGGTAAGAATTCAGGTGACAGTAAGAGAAATTGTGGCAGATCGTATCGGGAAGTATTAACTAACAATGATTTGTATATACAGTATTATATAGTTACATAGTCCTCTGTGGCATTCCAAGTGCTTCACATGTATTGTTTTATTCTTATCATGATTTTAGGAAGGACTATATGGAAAAGTGGAGGCACAAAGATACTAAATTTCTCAGTTACAAACAATTGCAGTAAAATCTAGAAGCAGAATTCTAGATCATTAACTCTTAGACCAGGGATCTGACACTAATTTATCACAAAGGACTGTAGTCTATTTGTACTGAAAATGTCTTCCTAATCATCTTCTGGTTCTAAGCCTTCCTTTTACAGCTGAAGAAATTGAGGCCCAGAAAGATTTTTGTGGCTGAAGTTTTACTATTTGCAATAAAGGAGAAAGAATAATTCTTACTTTCTTTACAAAGTTATCAGCTATTGTTGCTGATAATACAGCAGTTGTAATTTTTCTTTTTGTTAGAGTTTTACATTTATAAGAGGAACTTGAGAAAAATATACAGTGTCCATAATGAATATGCTAATAATAGGTAAAACTTTCAAAACTTTTTTATTGTACAGCTTTAAAAGGGTCAGGTGTATTTGTTTCTTTCTGTTTTGCAGATGGGGAAATAAGGCCCAGATAGATTTAGTATCTTGGTTGATTTCTCATAGATTTGTGGGAGATTTTGAAATAGAATTCTGTTCCTTAACTCCAGGACCCATATTCTCATTAGTAGGTTACCTATCTACCTATTTTATATAGATCATAGAGCTAAAAGTTAAAATATGTGAAGTTAATTATTTCCTATGGTGAAAAATCCAGCAGCTGGCTGACTAGACAGGCAAGAACCATATGATCATGACGGGTGAGTATTTTACATCATTTACTCAGTTTTTTTTTAAAATCCTACAGAGGATCCTCTAAGTCTATGGCTCTAAAATAATGGAACCAACTCTATACCACTGAGGGAGCTTACATTTGTGTGACAGTGAGAAAACCAGACTCCATGATCAAGCAGTGCTTGTATTTTTGCTCCCTAGTTGAAATACCAAAAAACCTCCAAGAATGCTTGGATATGCAACATTTTATTTGAAAGAGTTCACCAGAAAACCCTTCTTAATGGATTAGTTCACTTCCTTGTCTATATAGAAGAAACCATTGACTATTTTTGGTCTCAGAGTCACAATTTTGACCCTTTGAAAGCACTTAAAACAATATGTACTTTTTTGTAAATACATCTTTTTATTTATCTTGAGTGAATATTTGAGTGGAATTGCTGGGTCATCAGTTAAGTACATGTTTAAGTTTATAAGAAACTATCAAACTGGTTTTCAAAATATTTGTACCATTTTACAATCCCACCAGCAGCATATGAGGGTTCTAGTTGCTCAGCATCATCACCAGTACTTGGTGTTATGAGTCAAACAATATGTATTTTTATTTTTAGTGTTCATAGTTACATAGTTATCTCCTTCAGTAGACTATCAGCCCTTGAGGTCAAATACCATAGCTTATCCATTTTGTATCTCTCAGTGCCTGGTTCAAATGCTCAGTATATGTTTATCTAATTTATCTGCAACTCTCATTCTACTCATAGGAGACTGGTTGGAATGACCACTAATCTCTGGAAGTTGACGTTTAAAATAAATACATGGTAGCTTGTTGAATGTGGTTTCATTTTTTCTTACAAGTTGATTAAAGATAAAAATTTTTGTTAACTGATACTGAGTCTTTGAGATTTCAGTTAATGGAAGTTTTAATGTATGCAGCTTAAGATGCTATTGGGATATAATTGATAGATTTGAGAAAATCTTGATATATTTTTGATGCTTGAATAACAATGTTTAATAAATTATAATTTATAATAGAATAATAAAACATGTTTGTGTTCAAAGATAATGCTACTCCATTAAGATGTCTATTTTCTTTTCTGACAATGATACTTGAAAAGGAAAAAAATCCAAATATACCTAGCTAACTGTACCATATTTCTAAGATGAAAAAAATCTTCTTAATCTTTGAAGTGATCAACTTACAACCAAAAGTCTGGAACTTGATTACTCTCTCTCATTAGCGAAATTAAATAAGTCATAACATTACCTATCTCATGACAATGTCCAGTTGACGTTGGACACACTCTTCCTCAGGCAGGATTTGTTGAGATACATGTTCTCCTTCCTGAGGCATAGTGGATCCTTTTGTCTCCCATGCAGCTGAAACTTATTTTACTTTCCTGGCTAGCCTACGATGGACCTGTCATCCCTGATTATATCACTCTCATTCTGTCAACCTATATTTTTGCCTCCATAATCTTCTTAAGATAATGAATTTCATATAATTTCTGAGTAAAATAACTTTATTTTCCCAACTCTATTTCTTTCAGTCTTAAAGGAATATCCTAAGCGTTGAGGAGGGTGGGGGTTTAGATTTCTGGGTTAGCTGCTTAACATTAGTGGTAATTTTAGTTGACCATTTTGGATTTTCTCTAGCCTCATCTTGCCTTTCTTGACAGGCAATATATAGCACATATACAAGATTTTTTACATTGAGCCAGTCCTGAAGTTTGATTATGCATTTTCTTGGTTTCTTTGCCCTTTCTGATTATGACCAGTTCGTTAACTTTTTAAGCTATTTAACCAAAATTTTTAGAAAACCACATTTCTGAGAAAACCTTTACTGAAGTCTTTTAACTTACTTTTTAATAGTGATAAAGGCAGGTATTTCAGTTGTTTCCATTGAATGAATTATTTTCTACTTAATTAACATATGTGTCTCTGCCATTTTTCTGTGGTGTTTCAAGCTTGCCATTTCATTGCCCAGTGGAGCTAAATGGCACTTGCAAGCAGGACCTTCACTATGTGAGCTCTGACACTATGGAGTATATGAATCACAGCCACATCTAAGTGTATAAAGAAAGGTTATTGAGAATATTTACTATGTAAAAACATCTAATATAGGGCCTAGGACAAAGTAGGCATTCAATAAATACATGTATATACACATACACACATTGTAGCTCTTTCCAAATGCCCCTTCTGAATGTCCTAAAGGATACATGTAATAGATACTTTAATTTTATCTTTGATTTAGCATGACTGCTATCTTCCTGATGTCCGTGCTTTTTGGCCTTGCATGTGGGCAAGCAATGTCTTTTTGTATTCCAACTGAGTATATGATGCATGTCGAAAGGAAAGAGTGTGCTTACTGCCTAACTATCAACACCACCATCTGTGCTGGATATTGTATGACACGGGTATGTAGTTCACCTCACTTCTTTTAGCTATAAATTAGAAAACGCTAGACTCAGAAAGAAAATGAGATAAACCACAAGCTTATTTCTAAAATCTAATGGTTATTGGCTCCCTAGAGGTAGAGTGCACAGATCACATTATCTACTCAACAGTATTGATACAGATAATTTTATAACAGTTTTACTTCCAGAATTTATTTAAACTTTATCTTATTCTCATGATATAGGATAAAACAGAGGGAGTGTCACTTTTTTCTCTATGGGATTTAATGTAGGTATGTTGGGTTGTTATTCAGGAACAGAGCTAAGAAATCCTCCTCTAGTCCTATTTGTGACAAAGGAATATAAGTGAATTAATTTTTATCTGCTCCCATTATCTGTATGTTCCTAAAGCCTTATCACATTATGCTCCTTTTTTCCTTCTCTCCTCAGGATTTCAATGGCAAGCTGTTTCTTCCCAAATTTGCTCTGTCCCAGGATGTTTGTACTTATAGAGACTTCATGTACAAGACTGTAGAAATACCAGGATGCCCACACCATGTTACTCCTTATTTCTCCTACCCTGTAGCTGTGAGCTGTAAGTGTGGCAAGTGTGATACAGACTACAGTGACTGTATACAGGAGGCCGTCAAGATGAACTACTGCACCAAACCTCAGAAACCCCATGTGGTGGGATTGTCTATCTAACTTCAATAGTGATGTAATTTGCAATTTGGTTCAATATGTTTACCTGGAATAAAACTAATAAAATATCAATATATTTCACACCTTGTGTACATTTGAGTACTAGTTCATCCATACCCACACCCATTCATGTATTAGAGAGCTTAAGGGCTTTAGAAGAAAAGGTGAGTAAAAGAGCCATTCCAGCTCATATGAAGGATGGTTTCCACATGAAAGGGCAGAGTGCAGGTAAAATGGAGAACAGGGATGTGAAATACTAATGAAAGCCAGCCTTAAGCAGGTGCTTTTAACAGAGGGCCACGAGTTTTGTCTTGACCTAGAAAATGAATAAGGGAAGGCTACAGAGTAATGTGATCAGCAGCTGAAGAAACATATAACATCAGGGTACTGGAGACACCTACTTCCATAGGCTGACACAGGGCTGGAGTGGAGGTGGAGAGTAAGGAATATGTGAAAACTGCAATATACTACTTTATCCTGTCATTCAAATGCACAAGATAAAACTTAACCAAAACTCAGTAAACAGTATATTCTAATCTCTTTAATTACTCTGGTGGGCCAACTGACTTATGAAAGTTATACTCCAAAAGCCTAGAAAAGAGGCCACGATCATTTTACACGTAGAACTCTAAATCCTTTGTAGTCTTTCAGGTAATATGAGACACTTTTCTGCAACTTGTGCTGTTTTGGCTTTTGATGTCATGGAAAACTACTATGATTATGAAAGATTTTAGGAATAAGGGTAGAGTGCTAAGGGATTTAATAGAGTGTAATCATCCTAAATTCTAACCTAAACTTTCAATATTGAAACACTATTTTCCAGTAAATGTGCTTAGTAAGTGGTTGTTTATTTTTCTTTTCCTTCCTTAGGTACTCTTTCATGAGAGTTTGGTTTCAACAGCTGTATGAAGCGAGACAGACCCAGTGCCCTGCAGACTTGACGTCAAAAAGATAATTCATCCTATATTTGTCCATTTCTATCCATTCAAATTGCTCCCATCAGGGTGAAAATCAATTGTCAGCAGGACCAGTTCATTTTGCTATATCCTATAGTCAGTGGTTGTATTCATCTTGGCATCTTATAAATGCCTGCAGGCTGTCAGTGCCCAGGGGGATGCTAAGGTGGTGCAGACAGATTAGTACCAAACTCATACTCTGCCAGTGGGAAGGGAATAGTTGTACATTTAAATGCAAAGTCAGGAATCCCCATTATTCTTACCTTAATATCTGAAGTTAATATTAGCATGGTCTTTAAACATTAGTCTGGGGCTTTGGGTTCTCGTATCACTTGATACCATGGGCACTTAAATCTGCAGTATTATGATATCCCCTCTGAAAACTGCATATCAAATATAGATCTTTGAATAATGAGTAAAAATCTAATATTCAAACCTAACCGGCACTAATCACATATGACTTTCATGGAATCTGAAAAATGATTTCCAAGGAATTGAACTGTGGAAAGGATGTGAGGTTCAGGGAGTCCCCTTCTGTCCAGCTCAAAAGACTTTAGTTAAGTGGGCTTCCTCAACCTTCAGGGAAGAGGCTAGGCCTAGACCTGGGTGTGGTGAGCCTGTACCATCATGGGCTATAGAATCCTAGAGTGGGTGCATCAGAGACAACTTGTTTCCTTCCACTGAAAGTAATCCATTGGATTAGATGCATATGTAAATTATATTAAACCACTTTTAAAAGTGGAGTTGTCCAAGACAAAGAATCCTTTGAAGAGAGGCGAGGAATTGGCATGACCAACAATTTACCTTGAATGGATCCAGAAACTTGGATATATGGAAATGCTGTTTTGGAAGGTATTAGTATTCTTTGGGTTTAAAAGTAGAATAAATAGAGAACTTAAAAATGGGAAAGTGAAAAATTACTGCTTGTATAAGAAGAGAAAGGTGACTATTTTGGAATATCTTCTGAAATGGTCTTTACATTCAATCTGAAGTTTAAAGGAGTCAGTTTTTGGCAGAGGAAGTTTGAGCTTTAGTTCTTTTAAAAGAGTCCCTCTTGTTTCTCATTTGACTGAAATATAAAGAGTTCTTTCATTACGAAGTGATTTGGGATGGGTGCAGCAGCAATCTCTGCTTTTCTAATGGCCAAATTCTTCAGGAGTAAGTGAATGTACCAAGATGATATATTGGCAAGTAATAGTGTGATGCTTCCTGGTAATAGGAAATTCAAGTAGTAAAAGTTCTCTCTTAGAGGGAAGGTACCTCAACACAGTAAAGGCTACATATGCAAGCCCACAGCTAACATCATACTGATGAAAGCTTTTTCTCCAAGATCAGGAACAAGACAAGGATATCCACTCTTACCACCATTATTCAACATAGTATTGGAAATCCCAATCAGAGCAATTAGGCAAGAAAAACATAAAAGACATCCAAATTAAGAAGGGAAGTGGTCATTGTCTGCACATGGCATGCTACTAGAAAACCTTAAAGACTCCAACAAAAAACTGTGAGAATTAATAAATTAATTCAGTAAAACTGCAGGATACAAAATCATATACAGAAGTCAATTGCATTTCTATACACTAATAATAAGCTAACAGAGAAATTAAGTAAGCAATCCTATTTACAATTGCATCAAACAGAATAAAATACCAAGGGGTGAAAAACCTGTATGCTGAAAACTTTGTATAAGACAGTGATGAAAGAAATCGAAGGCATAAATGAAAAGATATTCTGTGCTCATGGATTGGAAGAGTTAATATTGTTAAAATGCCCATACTACTCAAAGTGATCTACAGATTCAATGCAATCTTTATCAAAATTCCAATGACATTTTTCACAGAATTAGAACAAACAATTCTAAAATTTGTATGGCACCACAAGACACTTCAAATAGCCAAAGCAATCTTGAGGAAGAAGAAAGCTGGAACATCTTGCTCCTTGATTTCAAACTATAATACAAAGCGATAGTAATAAGAGAGTATGGTATTGGCATAAAAAGAGACACCAAATCAGTGGAACAGAGTAGAGAGTCCAGAAATAAACCCACACATATATGGTCAATTAATATAAAACAAGGGAGCCAAGACTACAATGGGGGAAAGGACTGTCTCTTCAATAAATGGTGTTGAGAAAACTGGACATCTATATGCAAAAGAATGAAACTGGACTACTTTCTCATATTATATACAAAAATCAACTCAAAATGGATTCAAGACTTAAATGTAAAACCTGAAACCATAAGATGCCTAGAAGAAAACATAGGCAGTATGCTCTTTGACATTGATGTTAGCAATATTTTTTGGATCTATCTCCTCAGACAAGGGAAACAAAAGCAAAAATAGTAAAATAGGACTACATCAAACTAAAAACCTGCACAGTGAAGGAGACTGTCAATAAGACAAAAAGGCTATTAAATGAGAGAAGATATTTGAAAACGGTATCTCCCATGAGGCTTAATATCTCAAATATACAAAGATGTACATAACTTAACATCAAAAAAATAAACAACCTGATTAAAAAATGGGTAGAGGATCTGAATAGACATTTTTCCAAAGAATACATACAGATGGGCAACAGGTACATGAAAAGATGCACAACTTCACTAATCTTCAGGGAAATGCAAATAAAAGCCACAATGAGATATCACCTGACACCTGTTAGAATGGCTATTAGCAAAAAGACAACAAACAGCAAGGAAAAAGGGGCACCCTTGACACTACTGGTGGGAACATCAATTGGTATAGTCACTATGGAAAACTCTATGGAATTCCCTTAAAAAATTGAAAATAGAGCTACTATATGATCTAGCAATTTCACTTCTGGATATTTATCTGAAGAAAATGAAAATATCAACTTGAAAAGATATATGTAACCATATGGATGGACCCTGAGTGTATTAAGCTAAGTGAAAAAGTCAGAAGACAAATACCATTTGATTTCACTTTTATGTGGGAAGAAACAAACAACCTCACAGATACAGGTAACAGGTGGTTGCCAGAGGTGGAGGGTGGGGATGGGCAAAATGGGTGAAGGAAGTCAAAAGGAACAAACTTCTAATTATAAAAAAAATAAATTATGGGGATGTGATGTACAGCTTGGCGACTGTAGTTAGTAACACTGTGTTGCATAGTTAAAGTTGCTTCAATTTTTTTTAAATTGAAGTGCAGTCAGTTTACAATATTGCATCAATCTCTATTATACAGGATAATGTTTCAGTCATATGTATACATACATATATTCATTTTCATATTCTTTTTCATTACAGGTTACTACAAGATATTGAATAGAGTTCCCTGCACTATACAGTAGAAATTTATTGTTTATTTTATATATAGTAGTTAGTATCAGCAAATCTCAAGCTCCCAGTTTATCCCTTCCCACCCCCAACTTCCTCCAGTAACCATAAATTTGTTTTCTATGTCTCTGTTTTGTAAATAAGTTCATTTGTGTCTTTTTTTTAAGATTCCACATATGAGTGATATCATATGGTATTTTTCTTTCTCTTTCTAGCTTACTCTACTTAGAATGATGATCTCTAGGTCCATCCATGTTGCTGCAAATGGCATTATTTTATTCTTTTTTATGTCTGAGTAGTATTCCATTGTATAAATATACCATCGCTTCTTTATCCAGTCATCTGTGGATGGACATTTAGGTTGTTTCCACATCTTGGCTATTGTATACAGTGCTGTTATGAACATTGGGGTGCATGTATCTTTTTGAGTTAGAGTCCCCTCCAGATATATGCCCAGGAGTGGGATTGCTAGATCATATGGTAAGTCTATTTTTAGTTTTTCTAAGAAATCTCCATGCTGTTTTCCATAGTGGCTGCACCAAACTACATTCCCACCAACAGTGTAGGAGGGTTCCCTGTTTTCCACACCGTCTCCAGCATTTGTTGTTTGTAGACTTTTTAAAATGGCCATTATGACTGGTGTGAAGTGATACCTCAATGTGGTTTTGATTTGCATTTCTCTGATAATTAGCAGTATTGAGCATCTTTTCATGTACCTATTAGCCATCTGTATGTCTTCATTGGAGAAATGTTTGTGTAGTTCTTCTGCCCATTTTTGATTGGATTGTTTGGGGTTTTTGTTATTGAGTTGTATGAGCTGTTTGTATACTGTTTGTCAAAGATTAATTGACTGTAGGTATGTGAATCCTTTGTGATTCCACATAAGTTTTAGGATTATTTGTTCTAGTTCTATGAAAAATGATTGAGAAATTCGATAAGGGTCATATTAAATCTGTAGATTGCTTTGGGTAGTATAGCCATTTTAACAATATTAACTTTAGCTATTAACAGTAGCTCCAAGAGCATGGGATATCTTTCCATTTCTTTAAATTATCTTTCATTTCCTTTACCAATATTTCATAGTTCTTAATGTATAAGCCTTTCATCACATTGGTCAGTTTTATTCCTAAGTATTTTATTTTTTGATGCAATTTTAAAAGGGATTGTTTACTTTCTTTTTCTAATATTTCACTGTTAGTGTAAAGAAATGTAACAGATTTCTGTATGCTAATCTTGTATCCTGCTATATTGATGAATTTTTTAAACTTTACTTTATCACTGAGGTCTTAAACTTGAGAGGTGGCTCATATTGTTCAAATCTGGACACTGCAAGTTTTATGTTGCGGATTCCGAAGCTATAGTTCTAGTCCAGATTTTATTCCTGAGCTTTAGAATCATGAATCCAGTGCCTGTTTATATTTCCTCTTGGATGTCCTATATTCATCTCCAACTTGCATCATCCACTACAATCTGCTTTTCCTCCTGTACACCACTATCTTCCAGCTCAAGAAACCTGGGCATAATCCTAGGTTCCCCTTTCCCTCAGTTTCTCTTGCATCTGTCTACGTCTTGGTAGGATTTGCATTTCATTAGTTAGAAATTCCCATGATTCTGGCCTTTACCCTCCATTCTTTGCTTATACTAAAGCTGAATGATCTTTAAAGTTTAAATTTGATTTTTAAATTAATTTGATTAAAACTAATTTTAATCAATTTAATTTAATTTTATTTAAAATTTCCCCGAGTACCTCTGTATAAACATTGTCTCCTTGGTATGCTTTAACAGGGCCCTTCATCACCTAAGTTCTTGACCTGCCCTCTTTGAATGTTTCTACTCTTTCTCTGTTTGAGGGCCTTCTTGCATGTTGTTCCCCAGAAATCCCCTTTTCTTCTCTACCTCTATTACTTTTTATTTGGCTCATTTGCATGGGTTCTTCAAGACTCAATTAAGTGACCTAAAATTCAGGAAACCTCTCTCCCCTGACCATCACCCCCAATGTTGAGTAGGTCCACTCTGGGTTAATGATTACCTCAGCACTTATTTCATGGTAATCGTATTTACCTGCTTTTTTCCACTCTAAGTTCCTTGAGGGCAGAGGCTTGTTCATTTTAGCATGTCAGCATTCTTATAGAGTTTTTCAAATGTACAAAACAGTAGCTCCAAAACAAAGTAAAAGAAAAAAAAATTCCACTATTAGAGTGGGTTGCATTTTCTAAGGCAGTAACAGGCCCAGAGAAAAATATAGGACCTCTAGCTATGGCTATTGATATCAAGTCTTTAAATTAAAATAGAATTGGGAAATATATCAAAAACTATTCATTAGTTCAACAAATGAATGTGTTCAAATAGGTATTTGGTATCATGCGGAAGTATCTTTACACACAACAATGCATGTTTGGTTTATAATTAACAAAAACTCATCATCAGAATAATTATAAAAATAGAAAATATTCATTAGTTGCCAGGTATGCTAGGCACTTTGTTGGTTATTTCTTTTAATTTAGTTTAAATTTCTTCTACTTAACATGAGTAAAACCATCATAAATTAAACGGACAAAAACAAAACAAACACAAAAGCTTTGGAAGTGTTTCTGGCAAATTAGCTAAAAGCTTTGTGAAATTAGCATAGATTTTAGCTTGCAACATTCAGGACATATTACACTATTCTTCATGTATTCCATGTCTCCAGGAGATGGCCATCCAAATAGTGGATTCCTGAAAATTAGTCTTTGTTGTTAAAATGAGAATAACAGCAAAATGATGAATAATAACACTTTGCATTGGTATAGTCTTTTTACCTTTCAAAATTCACCCACATATAATATCTCACAGGTGAATTTTATAGAAAAAATATTGAAAGAAAATAGAAGACTTTTGTCCCTCTTAAAATATACCTTAACGCAAATTTGATTTTGGTGAGTCCAAACTAAGATGATGTAGTTAAGTGACTAGCTTCAGGTGTCTCTGAGTACTCCCTCTTAGGGGTGGGGAAAACGGGACTGTTGAAATTGAAGGACTGGTGTTCAAAGGGGATTTCAAGACAGCAGTGAACAAGGAAAGCTGGGGTACACCTCCTGAATACTCAATGGCTGCCCTTAGGGCCATGGAAACCATATTTTACCTGTGACATGTAGGGTGTCTCTTCCTTTTAGTCTCTGATAGACTTACTTTAGAAGGGAATATATGCTATCTGCTTTACTGCCGTCTTCCCACAAGCCTCAGACTCATCAAGCCAAGCCTGTTGGCAGTGCTCACAGGGGAAAGGAGGGCACCTATCGTTGATGACTGCATGTGGGTTACACTGGCTTTGTATCAATGTGCAGTTTTCCAGGTTGTACCATGGATAACAAAGGAGCTACTCTGGGGAAGACAGACACAATTTGGGTGAATATTATTTAAAATATAAGTATACGCTATAACGTTGTTAGAGTGTTGCTTTTAAGTACAGCTTTCAGTAGTAACATTATAGAAAGGTTACGATTCTTTTCCTTTGTCATCATATTGTTTGGGTTGATTGGTAGTCTGACATTTAGATAAGTCATGTGAAGTTGTGTGTAAAAATATAACCAGATTTTAAGGTACCTCAAACAAGCAATTCTAGTACATAAAAAATTTAAAATAACTTAAAATATTTCATCAAGAAGTTTTAATTCAGTGCATTGGCATCCTACATTTAAGGAAAATCTTTGGGTCTGGTCTCAAATTAATTTAGGTAAATAGACATAACCAAAAATTTATACATGTGCTTATATACATGTACACATGTATACATTTATTCAGGCTTATATATGTGTATATATTCAAGAGATAAATGTTCAACACGTATATATATAGATTCAGGATGTATATATAGATATCTACCCTCACTCAGAGGTGAAATTCTTTAATTTTATTCATGGCACATATTTTAGAAAAATTACTCCCAGAAGGTGAACTTTAATCATTTACGGAACATATCTTTACTCTTCCAGTTTTAACTACTGGAGACTTCTTTAAGGTTAATTCAGATACAGAATGAAACTCACTTTTGTTAAATCCCAGATGATTCTGAGCTGGAAGAAAAGTAAGTATGCCCTTAGCCCTGTGTCCTGCCTTCCAGCAGACAGATGAACTAAAGTCACCAAGAGAGACGGGCTGCTTGTTCTTTGCTTAAAAGGCTCTATTTCTCAACTACCAGGGTAGAAACATCTATTTCATGAAGTGATTTTCTTAAAATAATCTTTCTGTTAGTTATAGATACAGTAAAGTAGCCATACACAATTAAATTTTTAGCTTGATTTCAATCTGACTTTTTTTTTTCTAGGAAAGCTTTATCCAGAGTTAGTAGTAGTATTAGCGAGTGCGGCAGGAGAAATGTGGTTCTCTGTGGGAGTAAGATTATTTCAAACAGTTCAGTCTTCTCAGCAAAATATTTTGTAAAACTTCCTTGGGAGTGCACACTTTCCATTAGTTCAAACCCCAAGACTTGTGTTCTCACATGAGTACAAACCTACTTGAGGGTTTCCAAAGTCTCCCATACTTTCACTTTTGTGTGGCCGTTTAAAACGTAATTTTAAAAAAGCTCCATGATTTACTAAATGAACCAAGTTGTTAAAAATGGACAGATGTGTCAATTTAGATTGTAAATTTGGAATTACATTACCTAAAATGAAGCATCAAGACCATAAAGAACATGAACATTTTATTTTTATAGGAAACTTGCACAAAAAAGAACATATTTCTGTTGTGTGTGTACGTGTATTTTTGTTTCCTTAGCTTGTCTCTGTTGTGTGCACAAAACTAGGAGAGAATGTTTTTCTTTATTTTAGTTTGGCCAAGGATGCTCATGATAAAATTAATATATTAAGTGGCAAAAACTGTAGTTCTTAATCTGTAAAAAAGAATTCTCTAGGTGAATAAATAAGAACTGCCCCCCCAACTTAGGAAAATATGTAAACTCAAGTTATGAGGTATTTCAAAGATACAATGCCAGTAAAAATTCTCTATCCCACAATTTGCAACTGCCAGATTTCTTGCTTTTAGTCTTTTATGCTTACATCTGGAGAAATACAGAGAAGTTTTGATATAAAAGCCCTTTTGTGGATGTGAGGGTTGCAGTAGTTCAGAGCAGAGTCAGAAAAAGAAAGCAATAGAGATATTTAAATGTCTTTATATATGAACAAAAATATTTCCTTAAAAATTTCTTAAAAGTTTTTTTTTTAGTCTTAAAAACACTCAGTTTTATAGGGCACATGATTGTCTGTGTGACACTCTTTCCAGAGCGAGGTTTTTTGTTTTTAAATACTAGGAAAGTATGACTTATTCAAATTAGATTTTCCATGCTATATTTAGTTTTATAGATGTGTTTAGTTCTAAATGTGGTTTACTGTTCTGGGGAGAGTACATATATAAAAAAATGCCAGGAAACCCTTACACCTAACCCAAACACAGTCACTTTTAACATTGCACCATGATCTCTCAATTCCTGTAGCTTATTGCTTCTGTTAACTAGAAATCCCTGAATTCTCCATATCGAACTTCCTATGGCTAGAGTCCATTATCATTTTTTCTAAGTAACCAAGTTTTTTAAGTTTATCAAAATTCTTTTTATGTTTTTCTGAGTTAAATAGGTTGTTTCTCTCACATAACAAGAATCAGGAATTCCTTGCAAACAGATTTCATTATGTACAATGCATATACCAGAAACACGCAGATCACACATGAATATGCGCTCAGTCAACATACATAGGCATTCACTCAAGGGGGTAAACCAGTAACAAGCCAAACATTCATACATGTGCAAATGTACAATTAACAGCAAATTATTTTAGATCCTAATGTCCTTTGAATATTAAAAGTGAGCCAGGAGACAGCTCCTGTGACATTTGTATGCTCTAGGTTGCAATTTTCACGTAGAAGTAGCTTCATATCACATCTCGTGAATTTCGTATCGCACAGCAAAGGACCATGCTGAATATCATGCCAAAGATCTGAAACAGAAGGAACCACTTGTTAATGACTTTCAAATGATGAAAATTGGAGGGAAAAAAAAGTTCAGCAAACTGCTTGGATATCTAACTCATATTAACAAATAATTATAACCAATAATTACTGTTTATAAATGGCACTTTTATATATGCTACTTAATTATGGCTACTGGTTAAAGAATTCCATTAACTTTGCTTAAAATACATTCCTATTTTATTATTATTAAAAAATAACAAGGCTCTACTTTAAGAGAAGGGCTCTATTTCTAGCTTATAAACAGTTCTTTATAATTATAAAAGACTAATACACTATTAGTTTTGGAATTTTACATTTCAGGTTAATTTCAGATCTCATTTATATATTTACTTTGGAAAATATCTTCATAACCACTAGCTGTTTAAATATACTTGTGGTCTAAATAGTTTTCTATTGTTGGAATTTTTGCAACAGTGACTACATTTTAAAAAGTAGAGCATCTCTCCATTCCTGATCCATTTTTAAGTGCAAATGATACTTCATTATTTAACTCAGTAGTTTTACCAAAGCATAAGCTGAGGTGTTTGAACTACGATATTATTGACATCTTCTACCTCTTGGATACTTCTTTGAGAAGCCAAATACTTGGCAAGTGATTAATGACCACTTTAAATGGTTTGAACAGAAGCATGCCAAAAGATCCTTCTCATCCTCAGGCATTTCCCCTGCAAGTTTGCAGGGCCTATGCGATGCTCTCTATAGGTGCAATGTTCATAAACTACTGTCAGTGTTTGTTTAAAGAAATCAGTACCATAATTCTTGTGCTCTCTCTTCAACCCCATCCTACATCAGACTAGGCTCTGTAAATGCTGAATTTTAGAAGGCATGTACTGTCAGGTATTTTGGAAGGGAAAGGGTAGATTTAAGTAAGGGAACAGCCAGAAGCAGGGCTCCAAGCTTCTGGCTGAGAGAGCTCAGTACCAGTGTGTGGCAGGGGAGACACCTAATGGACATTTTGTTAACTGATTATACTGTGCAACTCTTACCATACGAAGAAAAGAATTAGAGAAGAAACTTGGGTGCTGATTCGAGATGGCCAACAGAGGTCATGTCCCCTTTTCATGGTTGTAAGGTTGGATGCAACCCCTACTTCATCCTGGTTGGATCTCCTCAGAAAGAAACTTTTTCAGCCTTATCCTGCCACTGTCCTGAGTCAGGGGTGACCACTTCTACAATGCTCATTCCTTGAGACTGCGGAATTATTGGGAGGCTCTATTTGATAGCTCTATTATGCAGAAATTTTTCAAATCCTCCTCCTCAGAACTGTCCTTGGGAAGCCGCAGAATGACCATCCGGCTAGTCCCAGGGCAGGTGGGGAGGGCCTGAGAGAAGTCCCTGGATTGGGAGGTCCTTTTCACCCACTGCCCCACCCCTCTGTGCTCTAGATACAGAAAGGAGGAAAGATGTCTCCTGAGAACTGCCAATTCATTGATTTCCTCACAATTCCCATTGCTTCCGCCTCAACTTAGGCCATGAATTAATCTACACAGGAGGAGTTGAGGGTAAGTACTACCTTAGCATTAGCTATTATCACTCACCTTCTGGACAATGGAAATCACCTCTTTACCAGTCTACCTGACTCCAGTCTTGCTCCTCTCCAACTTTACCTCCACACTACACTACGGTTCCTTCCAAACCTGGGTGGCTCCCCTCTACATTAAAAATGAAGCCCAACCTCTCAAAAGGGCACACACACAAAAGACCTCAATTATGTGGACTCTCACAACCCTTTCCAGTGTCACCTCTTGCTTTTCCTACCATAGCCTTCTTCCCCATCAACTCTTGCACACTCTTCATTTGTACTTTAGAAGTACGGAGCCATCTGCAGGTGTGTGGACACACTATGCTTCACACTTTTATGCTATTCCTTTTGCTTGGGTTCTGGGTTTGGGAACACTCAGATTATATACAGAGCTAGCATTTATTGAGTGCTATGTTTCAGACACTTCATATGAATTAATTCCTAAGAATACTTTATATGTATTATCCCACTTAATTTTTGCAACAATCTTGTGAAGTTGGTACATTAAAACCCCCATTTTACAGATGAGGGAACTGGGGTGTAGAGAAAATAAGAAACTTCCCCATGATCCCGGGGCTTCTAAGTAGTGGAGCTTGGAGCTGAATCCAGACAGTGTGATGCCAGAGCTCGCACTATTAATCCTTACATTGTGCTGCCTCTGCAAATCACAGGTGAGAGAGATTAACCTGGTATGTTATTTTAAATTTCTAACAAGGAAAAGACCCAGAATTAAAAATCACTTGTCTAGTATAAGCTTGGTGGCCTTAAAAATGGGAAGTTATTGCAATGATAAACTCAAAGTCATAATTAGTTTAAAATTGAAATGTATCATATTTTGTAGAGCTAAGTATTGACGTAGCTAGTCAGCTTTGTTCTTGGATGTCCTGTCAACAAACATTTTTGTCTTTTAAGAGAAATCTCTCCCTTGAGATAGTGCCATATCACACTTGAAGAGAAATAAGATACAAAGGTTCAAGGCTTCTTAGAGGGCGAAGAAGTTACGCTCTGGAACTTTCTCACCGTAAGACCTGCAATTCCAATACCAACAATTCCGATGAGCTGGAGCTTAACACTGATTATGGTCTCAATTTCTTCAATGCAGTTCTGTTTTGGAAAAGAAAAAGTGAGGAATAACAACTGATGGTACGTGTGAATTACCACCCGAATCCAACCCTTTTCTTCTCTACAGAGGATCCTGTGAGAGTTAACCCATGTCAGCTTCTGCTCATATTTAAACCATTCCTCCTAGATATCATTCTGATAAATCTGAAATAAAAATGTAGTTTGGGAAAAAATTATAATCCTCTCCTTTTGGTGGAATTTTCCTATTTAGGCCAATGGCTGCTTCAAAGCCCTGAAACCTAGCTGGAGGAAGCTATTCTGGGACCTGAGGCATTTAAAAATTTGGAGCCTTTTCCTACTTTCAGCAAATAAAAAATAAGTAAAATATCCTCCAAATAATAGCCCCTTGCTTTTGGGTTGTCCTATATAGTTTAAAAGACTTTCTACATACTTGGTCCAATTTACTATGTAAGGTAGGCGTCACTTAGTAAGAAGCTATAAAATCTGTACAGGTTCAAATTTAACAAAGGAAAGCCGAGTGTCGGGAGCTGGAAGACTGTTCTCTTCTATGGAGGCTGGGCTGCGTGGCCCTATTCTTTCATCTGGGCTCCATGGAGACCTGTGCAGGGCGGGTTCAGAGAACATTCATGGATGGGGCAAACTGGACAGGTGGCAGAACAGATCACTTGTAATGGTAATTAGCTTCTCCAGCTTCTATTTGGTCCTCTTAAGTACAGAGGTGTTATCTCAACCCAATTTTGTCCTTAGGCTACTCAGGTCTTTTTACTTGTCACTAGTCAGCTGTCTCTGATATCCACTTAAGCTAGATGAAACTCCCATCACTGTCCTCACATTGTTGCCGATAGATGCAGCCGGTGTCCCAGGTTCTTGTCCCGTCCCAGAAAGAATTCAGAGACAAGACTTAGAGGTTAAAAAAGGTAAAGTGAGGTAAGTGAGGTGGATAATACACTCTCAGGGGAGAGCAGGCAGGCTCAGGTGAGCAGCTGCCCTGAGTTTCTTTGGCAAGTTAGTTA